ATTAAAATTATAAATCGAGACTTAGACCTAGAATTTTATCTCATTTTCGAAATAAAAGTTCGAACGTTTCTTCATGGCTCAGACTTAAGACTTAATAAATTATGCGATTAATAATTAATAAATCTCGGTATAATTAAGAATTTACTATTTTGAAAAATAAAGTCGAGCTAATACATAAATCTGGTTTGGGGCTTACAACTGCAACCGTTGGTAGTGGATTTAAGATTAAGTTCGGGATTGAAGCAAAATCGTCGAGCTTTGAGTCCAATGAAGTAGAGGTGGTGGGCAAGAAGGTCGTGAGATTTAGGCCGAGAAAAAGAGTCGTGAGAGATGTGGAAGACGGCACTGTTGATAAAAGACCAACACTACAACAAAATTATGAAATTCTAAAGAAAAATTCTATATCCAATGATATTCTAATGGTACTTTCACTATTGAATTTTTTAATGCTTTCTGTTGCGAGAACATGACAATATGACATACGAATTAAAAAAAAAAAAACGAGAAAAGTAAACAACACAAGATTTACGTGGTTCGGCAATGTGCCTACGTCCACGGCGGCTGAGGGATCTTTATTATTCTCAATAGTCTCAAATACATTAATACACCATGTATTTATACTATAACTCTACAAGGTATAAATTTACTTAAATACCCCGTACCGTACCGCGGGGGCCCCGCCCCCGCACCCCCGGCCCAACTAATCGACTCAGCCCAACAAGGGTGATGCCTGCTCGCTCCACTCCGCTCACTTCGCTCGGTCGCTCCGCTTCCCTTGCTACGTTCGCTCTACTTCCCTCGCTATGTTCGCTCTGTTACAATCGCAGGCATCAGCCTGCCTCATTCTTTTGTCAATATATGAGTCATATCAACACTTTCCAACTATAGAAATATGGTCAGAAATAAAAATTCCAATAAAAATTACTACTACAACAAACAACAGTCGGAAAATGGTCTTGGAATTCCAAGTAAGGCCTCTCTCTGAGGACCTGACGTAATTTTTTCTCTGTATTGTGCTTGTTTTGTTTAAACCATACATTTATATATCTTTCATGCACTTTCCATCATGCATGAAAAGTTCTATACTAATTGGTCTCGTTTTTATGTCTTTTTAATTCCTACCAAAATTGAATGTGCCTCTTAATTCCCACATGTCATTACGCCTCTTTTGAACCTCGTCTTTTTTCGTCGTGTTTATCATTTTTTCAACTACTCATTTCATTTTCCCACAGATTTTGTTGTTTAATAGTTTTCAAAAGCCAGAAACATGTGTACCGATAGAAATTAATTATTTTAAGTTCACTAAAGCAGGAATTAAAATCTCTCTAGTATTTTGTTTGTTTTGAGTGTTCACGCTTTTTCCCCCCATTTATATAGCTTGATTGTTCAATTTAGTGCTTGAAGCAGTTTTATTCCACTATGCAACTTAAATCTCTGTTCTTTCTTGGATGTGTTAATAGGAAGTGAAGAAATTCCTCCACCCATATTCCTAAGAACGTGTAAACAATGCCGGAAGAATGCCTAAGGTTTCTTGTACGAATTGCCGAAAAGGCTCTGCATCACGATTGTTACACCAGTGGCGGACGCACATATAGTTTAGTGGGGGCATGGTCCCCCAAACTTTTGTGTTTTTTCACCTAAGTATATATCTATCATATTAGATTAAGTATGTTTATTTATTATTCCCCCTAATCAACTAATAATTTATTTATTTTGATCAAGTGTGCTAAGAGATGTCAAGTTCATTAGAGATATATTTAAAAAACTCCATAAAGTCCAACTTCACCTTTTATATTATATTATTATTTATTTATTAATGAAAAAAGGGTATAATAAGTTAAAAAATAAAATAAAATCGCAGCGACAAGCCCAACAACAATTCCTTGAGTATTTTGATCATCTTTTTATATTTGTGAGTACTTTAATTTATGCTCATGTTCCTAATTTAATTTATTTATCTTCTTTAAAACTATCACTCAATATGTGTATTTATTCATCATTCTTAAATGTCTTAATTCATTCTCTCTAGCTTGGACAATGTGATAAAAAAATTTGTTGAAGAGATGTACCATTTGTCAAGAACAAATTGATCGTGTATAGGATTATATTATTTTTTTATTTATGAATCATATATTAATATATAGGCTTATACTGTTTTTTAATAAGGTTGATTCTTACTCTTCATGTGTCTACGGTGACCACAGAGCGTGCATTTTCGGCTATAGCTATCGTTAAATCCAAACTTCAAAGTAAAATGGAAGATGACTTTCTTGTAAATTCTTTGACTATTTTTGTTGAAAGAGAAATTGCAAGATCCATTACTATTGAGCCAATCATCGATGAGTTTCGTGACTTGAGAGAACGTCGAGCATAATTCTAATAGTCACAAAGTTTGAACGGTATGTATTTTTTGAACTACTTTTTTTCTTTTTTCTATTCAAAAAATGCAACTTTGTCTTTTTAATTAAGTATGTCATTATTGAAAATTAATTCGTCCCCCCCAAATAAGTTTTCTAGATCCCCATGCGTTACACTATTCATGTCCATCTCGTTTATGATGTTGGCCTTTAGTGCAACACTGTATATGGTTTTTAGCCGAGAAAGGTTGGATACTGATATTGGTGGCTGCCTTCGCTTGTTTTCTGGTGACTTCATTTGTGCTTCTGCATTTATCGTGGCTTGTTTGGTGTTATTTCTAGTATATACAGAGTAATCGTCCGTTTTATGGATTATATGAGCAAAATATAGGCTTTCTTGCATCTGAGATGGTGTTGTTTGAATTTTTCTTTTTCCTTCTGAATTTACGTGACGTATATGTTCATTTAAGAATCGTACGTTTAATACAACTGCACGTATCGACCATACAAATTAAACAAGTGTACGTATCGCATGTCAAAAGGACCTTACATTGGTGTCGAACACACGTAATCTCATCAATATTAGTGAAATTACGATTAGGTTTGCTTGCTGATTGAAAATTCCATGGACGTATGTATTTGAAATCATATCGAATAAAGTCACACTGAAAGCTTACGATTCAAATAGCAGGCTTTATTGCATCGCGAGATGGTGTTGTTGAATTTTATTTAAGCGACTTATACATATTCATTTAAGAATCGTACATTTAATGAAATTGCACGTATCGACCATACAAATTAAACAATTCTACGTATCGATCGTACGTATCGCATGTCAAAAGCACTGATCTCGAACACATGTTATCTCATCAATATTATTAAAAATTTGTGATTGACTTTGTTTGCCAATTGAAAATCTCAGGGACGTTATCTAAATACATGATAATCTATACAATCATAAATGGTTCTTAGAGCTTTTAAACTAGGGTTGGTTCTTCGTGAATCCATACCCTATGTTTGCATCAAGTATAATCTATCAAACAACATTTTATTACTAATGTATAATTTCCATTCCAGTAGCTAGAGGTGACAATCTGAGGCATGATACCATTGATAGACACAAAAACATAGGGTTTTTTTGGTTGGTACTAGTTCTCGGGTATAGGCGGTTAACGGGCCAACATGAGGAGGCACAATAGCGAGTTGTTGTTAGGTGGCCTATTGGTTAGACAGTCATACTTTTTCAAAATGATATGTATATCTTCATACTATATCTCTGAAAACGACATAAATAAAAACACGATATTTCATAATATATACATGCATTTTTGTTGAAGATGTATAATGGAGTTACCTGCCTAATGAATAGGCACCTCATGAGAATTTGCATCCCTTTTTTTTTCCTTATGTTAACGCTAATGTTATACTTCGTTTTTTTTTTTTTTTTTTTT